TAATAAGAACAAAACAAAATGTCCTTAGCAACGAGAAGAATTTAGAGAACGCTATTTTCATAATATTCACCTTAACAGAATTACTACTCTCCCAAACAAACGTACAGAACAATATCAAGAAATCAAAAGAAAATGATTGAATGCGTCAACACAGCAATAAAAATATCTCCACACGTTACACTAATTGACATAATTTCAGTTAATAGTATTAGTTACTTTGTTAATATTAGTTAATAGTATTAGTTACTTTGTTTAATAAATTAATTTCGTTTTTGACTTGAAAAAGTCCACATTGGACGAAACGCCAACTACAACAGTTTTCCTATTGTCTTTTACATTTATAAATATTGTCTTTTTCTACGGGTTATCTCTGAGAAATTTTTCATATATATATATATATATATATATATATATATATATATACAGGCTGTCGTTGCTAGGCACTGACCTCAATACCCATTTATATATATATATATATATATATATATATATATATAGGTTCTTCAGGCCATGCATCTAAGTATGAAACAGACTGTCGCCGTGTGTTGACTCCAATGTCTACTTTTATATTTATATACGCTCTATCCTTGATATTGAGCACTTTAACACATCAATATAGCATACCTTAAAACTATATTTACCCCCCATATATATATATATATATATATATATATATATATATATATATATATATACATTTATATATATATATATATATACAGTGGGGTTGAATAAGTACAGCAAACAAATGCTTCTTATTCACACTTATATCAAATGAAAACTACAAATAACAATGTTATATATGTATTTTGTGGCATAGAATCAGAATCTGCAATTTAAAATTAGAAACTGATCGATAATTGTTAGTTATGCAAATTTTTATATTTCGAATAGTGTAAAAAGTGCTCGTACAGTGTCAATTTTTGCATTATAATACGGTAGATTTTAGTTGTACTTCAAAGTAGAAGATTCTAAACTGTTCTAGAATATTCTCAGTAACTCTATTGCAACATTCAGTTCAAAATTGAATCATTCTGCAGTAACTGTTCACTGATATCGGTTCTAATAATGGCTAGACGTAAGGAAATGACTTGTGCTCAAAAAGAGCTAATAATTAAGCTATGAAACAAAGGTAAAAGTTACAGAAACATCTCCAGTGACACGAACATACCTTTTACAACAATTGGTTCATTTATTGCATGATTTAAAAGACGTAATACTGTTGAGAACAAAGGCAGACACGGTGCTCCCAGGAAGATCTCTCCCAGATTACGAAGAAAGTTTATGCGACTGGTTCAAAATAACCCAATGGCCATCAGACAAGACCTTCAGAATGATCTGAGTTTGTCAGGAGTTAACGTAACTAAGCAAACGATTAGTAATAAACTACGCAGAGACGGTATAAAGTCGCGCTCCCCACGAAAGACACCACTCCTTCTGAAACGGCATAGAGATTCCAGGTTGAAATTTGCGACAGAGAATAAAGATAAGGAAAATTCTTATTGGGAAAGAGTTCTTTGGACAGATGAGAGTAAAATTGTGTTGTTCGGTCGCAATTTCCTGGATCATGTATGAAGGAAAGACGGCGAAGCTTACGCACCCAAGAACACCATACCATCTGTCAAATTTGGTGGGGGTAGTATCATGGTTTTGGGCTGCTTTTCGATGCGAGGTTTTGGCAAACTAGGAATTATAGATGGTAGAATGAATGCAGAAAAATAGCAACAATTCCTAAGCGAAAATGTATCGCTTTCTGTAGAGAATCTTGGGCTTCCTCCTGATTGGATCTTTCAGCAGGAGAATGATTCCAAGCATACTGCTAAGAGTACGAAGAATTGGCTTGCTAATAACAACGTTAATATCTTACAATGGCCAAGTCAGTCGCCGGATTTGAATCCATTAGAGAATTTATGGCGGTTTTTGGAAAATAAGGTCCGTGATAGAGATCCAACAAACAACAAAAACCTGAAGACAATTACTCAGGAAGAATAGGACAAAACTACCTGCTAAAGTATGTGAATCGTTAATTAAAGACTACAGGAAGAGATTGGTTGCTGTTGAACTTAATAAAGGCTTTGTTACAAAATATTAAATGGAGAAAACATGTTTTTGTTTTACTGTACGATCATTTTTTTAAACCCTTAAAAATTTAAATATTGCTATATTTTCTTAACCATAGAATATTATTTAGTTTTATATGCATACATTTTTAATATGCAATCTGATACAGTAGATATATTCCCGTTTTGTTAATTTAATATGTTACAAATAAAAATAGAAAATATTTTTTATGTGTACGATCACTTATTATATATATATATATATAACAAGACTAGATGTGTTCAGTAGGAGTAGATAGGTTCTCCTTTTGGCCGGTTCATAGACCTCCCCGGTCTTTTAAACAGGAATGAAGTTTTATCCCTTTTTTCCTATTTAGGATTGGATCTCCGGTCCACTATAATGTCTTCTCATTCTTTTTCACTCACAGTAGCCCCTTTAATCTTAGTGGCATTATCGCCTTGCTTGGTGTGAATTGATTCAATATATATATATATATATATATATCTATATATATATATAGATATATATATAGATATATATATATGATAAAAAGGCTTAAACACTAATATTCCATGGTCATAATTTATTCCGTTGGAATCGTAAATAGGATCCAATTCATCAGACCTACAAATTCAAAAAAAAAAAAAAAACAGAAAAAAAAACAACTCCGGAAATAAAAATAGAATTTAGAGAGAGTGTAAGTATGAGAGTGTGGGATGAATGTTAGAGCTAAAGAGAGGGGTAACAGACGAGAGAAGGTGAGAGATTAAAACTTAACAGGGAGGAGTTTTATAGAGGTGAGTAGAAGGGGGAAATATGAATGTTGTCAGATGTCTAATACATTAAAGATACATTTCGTGGTGACATACACACACCATAGACGATCTAATGTTAAAGATCAGAATATTATATCCTTACTCTGTCCTGGACATTGAGTTCTACCTGGATTCTATCCTCTTGGAATTTTTTATTCAAAAAATATACATGCATGTGTATGCTCCTATGTATATATATTTATATATTTTGCATATGTATGTGTATATTTACCACTAATTATCTTTCTCTCTCTGTCTCTCCCTCTCTCTCTCTCTCTCTATATATATATATATATATATATATATATATATATATGTTTGCGTTTGTATACCTTTGTGTATATGTGTGTATTTGTCTGTAAATGTGATTTATACAAAGGAATTCGTTGAAATAAAACGTAAATATGATAAAGTTATGGCGAGTAAAATATTTGGAAAATGTCATATTTAAAAGCCGAGTGAAAAAAAAAAGAAACCGTTTCCCTTTGTTTAAATAATATTGAAATAATTCTTTTAATTCCAGTGTTATTGTCAACCATTAAAATGTGGGAGGGATTTCTGTAGCACCCTTTGTATTTAATCCACAGAAGTTGATATATTATAAAAGCCTGATTTTGTGTTAATCGAATTGAATTGTGACATTATAACTGGTTTACGAATTAACCTTTCATAAAAGATTGATGATTTTTGCATTTTAAAATCGACAGGATAATTTGAAAGACGTTTGCTTAAAAACCAACTTTATGGCTTCAACTAGAGATAAAAATGTATTTTATTTACATTACTCGGACTATTGTCCTCATCTTTGTCGCCATATTTATTACAACGTTTCGGCCTTCAGTATCTGTCTATATTTCTGAGATGAGGTATTATGTACACTATTTACATTATTCGGACTATTGTCCTCATCTTTGTCGCCATATTTATCACAAAGTTTCGGTCTTTCAATATCTGTCTATATTTCTGAGATGAGGTATTATGTACACTATTTACATTATTCGGACTATTGTCCTCATCCTTGTCGCCATATTTATTACAACGTTTCGGCCTTCAGTATCTGTCTATATTTCTGAGATGAGGAATTATGGACATTATTTACATTATTCGGACTATTGGCCTCATCTTTGTCGCCATATTTATTACAACGTTTCGGCCTTCAGTATCTGTCTATATTCCTGAGACGAGGTATTATGTACACTATTTACATTATTCGGACTATTGTCCTCATCTTTGTCGCCATATTTATTACAACGTTTCGGCCTTCAGTATCTGTCTATATTCCTGAGATGAGGTATTATGTACACTATTTACATTATTCGGACTATTGTCCTCATCTTTGTCGCCATATTTATCACAAAGTTTCGGCCTTTCAGTAGCTGTCTATATTTCTGAGATGAGGTATTATGTACACTATTTACATTATTCGGACTATTGTTAGGGTGGACCTGCGAATAACAGCAATTAAGAGGTGGTACCACGCTCTACAAAACATCCAATCTCCCGATTGGAGGCCCTGTTGCCGGATGTAGTTTATCGTCATGCCGGGGACTAGAAATTGGATTGTAACATTGTAGAAGATTCAATAATTCTTTTAGAGGTATATGATGAATAAATTTAACCATTTTCACTTTTTTATTTAACAGAAATTTGGTTTTCAAATTTTGGTTATTTAATGCCGACAAGACTTTTTTTTTATTGCTGATAATACTTTTTTTTACAAAAACGTATTTTGGTAATATTTTTTTCCAAAAATATATTGCTGGTAATATTTTTTCAAAAAAAATTTCATTAATCATTTCTCCTCAAGTAAGGTAATAAAGCCACTAAGACACAAGCGTTTACAGTGTTTGGGATAATATAAGGAAAAGAAAATATTATTAAGGGAAGGCACAATAAATACTTATCTATCTATATTTAAAATGACCACATAGCCAAGTGCTTAGAACGTTCGCCTTCTCACCATGGTCGATTTGTCAGGAAAGGTAATTTCTTCATGATATCGATCCCCCAACCAGTGATTGTAAATTGGAAGTCATCGTGACCGAGGGTTTGAGTGTGATAGCCTTGTTCAGACTGTTGATCACGCTAGATAACATGCGCTCTCCCAGAAACTATAACTAAGGTTCACTCAGCATCTTCTTCTAGGGCCTGGCTTCGTGAACAAAGATTTATGAAGTGGGCTGTCCACGTCGACTTCAGGCTAGTCCGACCCCAGCGACTGCAGTTAAAGGCCTGATCTGGTATATCTGCTGAGGCTTCCCGGTCCTTCCGCGGAGTTTCCCCTTCAGGCTGGCCCTGCGAGAGACCTCAAAGGTGGAGACGGCCTGGTATCTATGCACACTGATGAGCAAAAACAGTTTCTCTGTGGATGACAGATAGATAGATAGATAGATAGAAACCAGTCGAACCCGAGTATGCCAGACTATTAGAGCGACTAAGATAGATGTGGAAATAGTTATCATTAGACTGAGATAGATAACTAGATACGAATTGACTGAGATAGATAGATAGATAGATAGATAGATAGATGTAGAAATAGTTATCAGTAGACTGAGATTGATATCCAGATATGAATTGAGATAGAGAGATGTGGAAATAGTTAATAGACTGATATATATATATATATATATATATATATATATATATATATATATATATATATATAAATATAGATAGATAGATAGATAGATAGATAGATAGATAGATAGATAGATAGACAGACTCAGGCTGAAGTATTTATCAATAGACTGAGATAGATAGATAGATAGATAGATAGATAGATAGATATAAACTGTTATTGATAAAAGATATGAAAAGACTGAGATAGATAGATAGATAGATAGATAGATAGATAGATAGATAGATAGATACCACTCGAACCCGAGTATGCCAGACTATTAGAGCGACTATCTAATCCTCATTGCAGACGTCTGCTCAGGCACATTTGTGTTTGCTTAACACCCACAGAGCCCATCTGTGGTTTATACTCCAACTATGCTCAGCAGACCTTAGTTATCTATCTATCTAAGATTTTTCTATCTATTGGACGGTGTGGCGCCAGCTTTGACGGTCAGCAACAAATGTCGACCACTGGCGATGATCAACGTAGCAGGGACCGAGGGAGTCCTTATAACGCTTCCTTGGTGCTCCTCTGTCACGGTGGCGAGTGGAGAGTACGCCATTCAGGGATATCTTGGGTAGGTAATGGTCCCTCACTCTAGATACGTGCCCTACTCAGCGTAGCTGGGACTTCAGTCACATGGCTTCAATGCTTGCGATTTTCGCCTGTTTGAGGATCTCAATGTTGGTGACGTAATCACTCTAGTGAATGTTGAGGATGGTACAGAGACAGCGCTGATGGAAGCGCTCAAGCAGTCGTAGGTGGTGGCGGTAGGTTCAGACCTAAAGAGCCGCCATGTCACGCACACTGGGGTGAATCATCCTCGTTCCCCCCGTATCCCATTGTTAAGAAGGAAGTTTCATTCGGAAATCTTCTTTCACAGAACCTTTACTTTGTGTAACAGACTCCCAAGGGGGACGCATCTCTGATCAGTATAAACTTGACCTCTTCAAGTCTAAAGTCAACCGTTAGCGTCTTTAATCTGCGCCTGTTGCCTCCTCCGATCTTCATACATTCTTCGCTTCGCGAACGAAGATTTATGGAGTGGGCTGTCCACGTCGAGTGCAGGCATGCTGATGGCCGATGCGAGGCAAGTCTGGCCCCAGCGGCTGCAATTAAAGGTCTGGTTTGGTATAGCTGCTGAGGCTTCCCGGTCCTTCCTCCTGCGGCCTTCCCCCTTCAGGTTGACTCTGCGAGAGTCCTCAAAGGTGGAGACGGCCTGATGGACGGTGTGGCGCCAGGCTTGACGGTCAGCAGCAAATATCGACCACTGGCGATGGCCAATGTGGCAGGTACCAAGGGATTTCTTGAGACAAGTTTTCTTCCACTCAGCATAGTTGCAGTATAAACCACAGGTGGGATCTATGGGTGTTGAACAAAAACAAATGTGCCTGAGCAGGCGTCTGAAATGATAATTAGTTAGCAGCCCTAATACACTGGCATCGTGAGCGATTTACCTTTTTTTACCTTTTAGGACAGTGATTCTCTATAAGAACATTACTTCAGTCGGATGTAGTCCTTTTAGAGGTCGAAACGTGTTACACAGGCTTTTCCCATTTTGTCATTCAATTAACTAGCATGTATATATGTATTTCGGTGGTTGTGCTAGCACGAAGTCACAAGTCATCGTGACCGAGGGTTTGAGCGTGCTAGCCTTAATCAGTGTTGATGACTCTAGATAACGTGCTCTCTGCCAGAAACTGTAACTAAGGTCCTGGCGCCACACCGTCCAATAGATAGATAGAAAAGTCTTAGATAGATAGATAGATAGATAGATAGATAGATAGATAGATAGATGAGACGTAGAGAGATATGACTTAGATAGATAGATAGATAGATGAAACATAGAGAGATATGACTTAGATAGATAGAAAAGTCTTAGATAGATAGATAAGACGTAGACAGATATGACTTAGATAGATAGATAGATAGATAGATAGATAGATAGATAGATAGATAGATAGATAAGACGTAGATAGGTATGACTTAGATAGATAGATAGATAGATAGATAGATAGATAGATAGATAAGACAGACAGATATGACTTAGATAGATAGATCGATAAGACGTAGAGAGATATGACTTAGATAGATAGATAAGACGTAGACAGATATGACTTAGATAGATAGATAGATAGATAGATAGATAGATAAGACGTAGACAGGTATGACATAGATAGATAGATAGATAGATAGATAGATAGATAGATAAGACGTAGACAGATATGACTTAGATAGATAGATAGATAGATAAGACGTAGACAGATATGACTTAGATAGATAGATAGATAGATAGATAACTATGGTCCGCTCAGCATAGTTGGAGTATAAACTATAGGTGTGTTCTGTGGGTGTTAAGCAAACACAAATGTGCCTGAACAGGCGTCTGCAATGAGGACTAGCCAGCCGCCCTAGTAGTCTGGCATCCTCGGGTTCGAGTGGTATCTATCTAATTAGTTTCCTCAAATCTGATTCTCTCTTACTCTCTCATTTCAGTCTTTTCCATTATCTCTATTGATCGGCTTCAATCACTTAATATCTATCTATCTATCTATCTATCTATCTATCTATCTATCTTGTCATCCATAGACAAACTGTTCGCTGTATATCAGTGTTGTGGCTAGACACAACAGCCTTCGGCGCACGATTGAAAGACAAATTTTTACGTACTTATTCTGTGAATAAACACGCCAATGAAGGACAGTGTGCTTAATTTGGTAAGAGCTTGTAATAATTAGTAGTATTAGTTATTGTTTAGTGCACAAGAGTGTACAACCGAAATTAAGTTGTCATCCACGGACAGGCTGTATCGCTGTCTCATCAGTGCGGATAGACATCCGATTGCTTCAAGCCGGGATCGAAACCCGACTGATTCGGCAATAGTCGGAGATTTTCCCCTAAGCCATCAACGTTGAAAGAAAGGCGAATTTTTACGCAATTATTCTGTGAATAAACACGCCAATATATATATTATGTGTGTTCATATCTATCTATCTATCTATCTCTCTAAGACTTTTCTCTCTCTCTCTCTATCTATCTATCTATCTAAGACTTTTCTCTCTCTCTCTTTCCCTCTCTCTCTCTATATCTATCTATCTATCTATCTATCTAAGACTTTTTTCTATCTATCTATCTATCTATCTATCTATCTATCTATCTATCTATCTATCTATCTATCTATCTATCTGTAATTGGACAGCGCTTCCTGTCACAGTCAACCTTATCTAATCCAAACTAGATTTTATAATGGAATGCCCAATTTAGATGAACAGTGGCGTAACTTCAGAGAAGACTGAATAATGTCATAGATTTATAGGAGTTAATGATTGTCTACAAAAACAAAAAACAAAATATTACAAACGTTTGGCCCGAATTAATGATAAGAAATATGTGCCAAAGAGTAGCGGATATACAAAGGAAATAAAGGAAAAATAAGATAAAATATAAACAAAGGTTTGTGTGTGTGTGTTTGTATTTTTTTTTTTTTTTGACTTGGTGACATCGAGAATTGAAGGAAAGGACGAGACGGTAAAAAGAGACAATTTTGTTAATGGAAAGAAAATGGAGGGAAAGATTAATGAAGAAGTGAAATTGAATAAAAGTAGGGAAAAAAAAACATAATTAGAGACAATCCGCTCTGACTCCATGGCACTCAACAAAAAAGTAAAGAAAAGAAAAGAAAAGAAAAGAAAAGAAAAATGGCGTCAATTACAACGGCAACAATATACAAAAAAAAAAAAAAAAAAAAACTATGTGTAGAAAAAACACGTAGAAAATAAGCAGGAATAAAGGGAGAAAAACGAATTACCAGTGCAAAAATAAAGTCGATAAAAACGAAGAATGTCTGAGATTGTAGAGGAGGTAAATATTGTTTCCGATCTATTTCGTTTTTCAGGGGAAGGTTGGGAATGTGCAGCATGGCGGAAGAGGTGAATAGACAAGATGAAAGAAATGAGAAGAATATAAAAGGTAACATCTATCTATCTATCTATCTATCTATCTATCTATCTATCTATCTCAATCTGTTCATATCTATCTATCTATCTATCTATCTATCTATCTATCTATCTATCTATCTATCTCAATCTGTTCATATCTATCTATCTATCTATCTATCTATCTATCTATTTTTCTATCTATCTCTCTATCTCAGTCTGTTCTCTCTCTCTCTCTTTCTCTCTCTCTCTATATATATATATATATATATATATGTATATAATGTACAGTGTAACCCGGATATAAGAGACCCGGATATAAGAGAAACCCGGATATAAGAGAAACCCGGATATAAGAAAGATTTTCTCTGGTCCCAAATTAGAGTCTGTGTTAATGTAAACAAAATAGACCAAACCCGGATATAAGAGAAACCCGGATATAAGAGAAATCCGGATATAAGAGACTTCTCCGATCCCGACAGCTCTCTTATATCCGGGTTACACTGTATCTGTCTATCTCAGTTAGTTCAAATCTGTCTGTTTTTCTCCCACAGATAGATATAAATCAACTGAGATAGATAGATAGATAGATAGATATATATCTATCTGTACGCTGAAGACACACCAAATTTACTCCTACCTCTGTAGTAAGGCTGATTAGTCTGACAAGATTAAAATGGCAGCCGATGTCCAAAACGACTTCAAGTCCATCGTTATCTGGGGCAAAAGACACCGTGTCAATTTTTAACGCTTCCAAAACTAAATTTCTCTCCATTAATCATCTGAGAGAACACTCTCTGACTTCCAGCAGTATGGTTCCATCTGACTGTCCTGTCTTTATTTCATCGCATGCTTCTCATGTTTTATATTGTAATATTTAGTCTTCCCTCGATTTCAGCTCTGTTGAGTGTGGGCGAAACCGGTCGGCTGGTTATTTTTCGTTAAATCATGAATGGTAAAAGCTCGTCTTCCTGTTTGTATTTCCATTATATATATATATATATATATATATATATATATATATATATATATATATGTGTATTCCATAATATATATATATATATATATATATATATATGTGTATTCCATAATATATATATATATAATGGAAATACAAACAATTTTAATAAAGTACATTAATCCCGAACCTGTATATGTATTAAATTAAAATTGTTAAGATTGTTTGCGAAGATGTTTTCTCACCATTTAAATCATTTACTTATATATCTTTTTTTTGTATGAATGATTCATGTAATGTAAATTGAACTGAACCACATACTTTATATATATATATATATATATATATATATATATATATATATATATTTCTTCATATATATATATATATGAAGAAATATAGTTTTAAGGTCTACTATATTTATTGGATAAAGTGCTCAATATCAGAGATAGAGCGTATGTAAATATAAATATAAATGTAAAAGTCAGGGCTGTTTCATGCTAGACGCAATCGTCAGGTTGCCTGACGATTGCGTCCAGCATGAAACAGCCTGTCGCCTCTGGAGTGTTGTCTTCAATGTTCACTTTTATATTTATATATATATATATATATATATATATATATATATATATGTGTGTGTGTGTGTGTGTAAACAGATTCCTTGTGCCACACTAAGATAGAATAATTTTTAAAATAGAGATCATGATTTTAATGATTAAAATCTAAAATACATTTATGATTAAAATAAAATAAACACGGCGCCTTTCGTCCGAAGAAGAATCGTCGTAAATAAAATCAGACTAAAGGGAAAATGTCCGTGTATAAGATCTTAAAAACAAGAATTAAGGAGGGCGGTGCAAAAATTAAGATGCCACCAGAATGAAACGAAGACCCGCCAAATAATGCCAGCCTGTGTCTAAGTTATTTTTGTCTACACAGATCAGGACGCTGTGAGTTGATAACAACAGTCTCCAGGTCCTTTAGACGGTGTTTCGTCCGGTCTCTGTTCAGAACAGAGAAGAACTCTTCTGAATATTTAGTCCTGGAAGTTTCACTATTTAATAAATAGTCGGCGATGGTAAACACATGAGTTTGTGAGCTCCCCGATGTTATAGGCGCGTGCCTACAAATTGAGCCTTCTACAAGCTGCGCAATTCTTACTTCTAACTGCTGCATAGTCTTGCCCACATAGCCCAGAATCTATCTTGCATATCTATAAGTCTACCAATCGTCCATGTTTAGTATATTGAAGCTACATATGGTCCGGTGCCCCTGCTATTTTACCTAGAACTGCTTGATAAGATCCATCATAAACGGCTCGGCTTTAGTCATTTAAACACCCTCTTGAAAAAGGTATGAATCCTCTTCAGACCGGAATCTATAGCCTTGTATAGCGTGTATCACGCAAGGCACATAATTGAGCTGATATTCACTTACGTGATAATACTCTTGGCAAAGGTATGAATTCTCTTCTTCTCCCCTCAGCTAGGGGTAAATTGCAAGACAGACCGAATTCTATAGCCTTGGATAGAGACTGGTCTACCGCAGAAAGAAATGGCAACCTACTGCGGGAAACGATCTGCTTCGTCAGTCATGTATCGAAAGATACATGATCGCCTCCACGTGTATCACGCATGACATATAACTGACTGGCTACACAATAACCGTTAGGATAATGCAAAATCTGTTGATACTGACCCCCAATGTCTACTTTATATTTACACACGCTCTCTCCCTGATATTGAGTACTATTCATACATAAATATAGCATACGTTAAAACTATATTTTATATAGTGGGGTAATAGATATCGGCTTGGATTGTGGAATCGGAGAGCCGCGTTCGAATCCAGGTTGAATCCATTACATTTCACTTACGTGCTAATACCCTTGGGAAAAATGTGAATCCTCTTCTCCCTCCAGCTATGGGTTAAATAGCAGGACAGACTGGGTTCGATAGACTTAGGTGGCAACTGGTCTGAATTCAGAACCTGAGGGGGGTTGTTTGGGGACCCCGTGGCACGTAGTGCACCAGGTCTCTGTATTCGTCCCTTCAAAAAGTGTGGATGGTCCTGCACGAGGCCTTCACCACTATAGTCAAATCTCATGTGCTGGTGTCGGGCTGTCGGTTTCCTAGGAACTGATCTGCTTGACCCTCATACGTCGAACCCGACAGGAGGGGAGAATCGATTATATATATATATATATATATATATATATATATATATATATATATATATCCAAACCGTTATCCAGTACTCCACCATTCCACTTCGAATTCCAGTCGAATCCATTACATTCACTTACCTTTGGGAAAGGTATGAACCATATTCTCCCCCCAGCTATAGGTAAATAGCAGGACAGACTGGGGTTCTATAGCCTTGGATGGCAACTGGTCTAGGAGAAGGACAACTCTGAATTCAAAACCTGCAGAGGGTCGTTTGGGGACCTTGTGGCACGTAGTGCACCAGGTCTCTGCATTCGTCCCTTCAAAAAGTGTGGATGGTCCGGCACGAAGCCTTCACCACTATAATCAAATCTCATGTGCCGGTGTCGGGCTGTCGGTTTCCTGGAAACTGATCTGCTTGACTCTCATACGTCGAATCTCGACGGGAGAGTCGATTTTTTTTTTGATTTTATATATATATATATATATATATATGTATATAATCAAGTCAAGGGCCATAATTCAGCAATCATGTCTTTTTCGATTCATGTCTGACTCGGCAGAAGATTTCTTACATTAGGGTGATGTTTCTTTTTGTCTTTTTATTTTGGTTTGGTTCTCCACTATAACCAAATCAAATGTGCAGGGGTCTGGCTGTCGGTTCCTAGGAAATGAGCTGTTTGACCCTCATAGATCGAAAAAAAACGACGGGAGGAGAGTGTATATATATATATATATATATATATATATATATATATATATATATATATATGAGTCGTGGACTCTCCCGTCGTAGATCGACGCGAGCCGTTGACCCGTGCCTACCAGGTATCCTAAACATCGCTAGGCGGCGGAAGGAAGCGAGAATTCCCCGCCGGACCTACCTTCGCAGCGATACCTCTTCCTCCGACGTATGAGGGTCACCCTCATATGTCAGCTATCGACAGCCAGACAACCTGCACATATGGATTGATTATGGTGGTGAAGGTTTTGTGTAGAACCAACCACACTTGTTGAAGAGCCGAATACAGAGACCTGGTCCCCCAAATAACTCTCCTCAGGTTTTGAAGAGTTGTCCATCTCTTAGACAAGTTGCCATCAAAAAACCCAGTCTGGTGAGGGTTGGGGGAGAAGTTTCTTTTCTACCTTAGTTACTATATATATATATCTGTTCGTATCTATCTACCGATATAGATCTATTTCATCTAATAACTATTTGGGAATTACTATTTTAACAGACATATACTTAAAAAAAAAATACGACATGGATGATTCATACAGTGTTTGTGCGCTGAGCACCTCTTTATTTGAAAAAAAACTTTTGGCTTTTTTCAGGTAAGTAAAATGTTTGAGGCAGATCTCTAAAAATAATAGGTTGTGTAACCCTGATATTGAGGACTTTCATCCATAAATATAGCATATCTTAAGACTATATATATATATATATATATATATATATATATATATATATATATATATATACACCCACACGAATATACACACTTACACACATCATACTCACTCACCCCTAATGAGCCAAATGATAACACACACCCACAGCAATATACACGCTTACACATATCATACTCACTCACCCCTAAGAACCAAATAACACACACACAAACACTTAACAGAGACACATCCCCTCCAGGACCAATAAAACTGTCAAACTGACCAGGGGGAATTCAGAGAAGCATAGATCCATCCAGCTCTTATCTCAAATAACAACTTAAAAGAGACTGTTTGACCAACACAAGGAATGTTAAAAGATTCATGTTAAAAAGATAAAAAAAATTAAAAAAACAAATGAAAACTACAGACAAAAGTTCATTTTCTCCACCAAGACATTAATTTCTGTAGTTTACTGCTACCAGCAAGCAGAAATATTTCTCCTCCTGATGAAGGCCATTTTGGCCGAAACTAGTCGAGGAATCTAAATGAAATAGTAATAAAAAAACGAAAGAATATTAATCTGCAACCCAGTGTGTCTGAAGATTTTAATTTTTTAATATTTTTTAATATTTTTTTATTGTTCAAAAATATATATATATATATATATATATATATATATATATATATATATATATATATATATATATGGACGCTGAGGTCAACCACTAGCGGCGACAGTCATTTTCATGGTTAAACTCAATCACCATGTCCTGATGGTTGCGTTCAAACAGGTAACAGACTGTCGCCGCTGGGTGTAGACATTAATGCCCACTTTTATATTTACATACATTCTATAACTAATGTCGAGCACTTTAACACATTAATATAACATGCATTAAAATTATATTTTTATCATATAATATCTATCTATCTATCTATCTATCTATCTATCTATCTATCTATCTATATATATATATATATATATATATATATATATATATATAATAAATA